CTTTCCTCAAGATAAAACGAGCTCTTCCGTGTAAGCCGGTAACAGAACAATGAGAGTGAAAGATGTATTAATCCAGCAGAGTGAAAATATATTTCAAGAGACGTTTTTTCGTAGCTATCTAAATAAGCAGTGAGGCAGCCGATTTTATACAGCAGGATTTCGAACGTTGCTAATCTTTTTGCATGCCAGGTAGACAGGGCCGGTCCAGTCTATTCTCGGGCCTATGGGCGAGATTTTTTTTGGACTTATATTCAAGACAAATAATAAACTATATTTATTTTAAAATAATATTTATAATAAAATTATCTAATAAAGGTCATTAAATAAAAATGAAACTTATTTTATTATTATTATTTAAATTACATATTTGGCAAAAAATAACAACACAAGTATCACATAATAAGAAAAACATTACTTAAAAATGTTTCTCACGGAATTTCAAGATTCAATTTCTTAACAAAAACAAAATTTTCCATCGATCCCTTCTAACTTAATCCTGTCTTTTCTAATCTTCTTCTCTTTCTCTCTTTATCGCAACCTTATTCACCAATGTTATCAAGAATAATTTATTGATCACGGATAGATTGTTTGAAGCCTTGAAAGAAGAAGTTTTTGATCACCAGCCGTCGTTTGAGCTCCTCGATTGATTGGGTTCAACTCTTAACAAAACGCTGAGGCATTCACCGCTTTATTCGTAGCGTTCTTTACTCTTGTTGATATTAAAATTTGGAAGCAACAAATCAATTTGGATGGGCTTTGCGAATTGGGAGTTTTGGACTTCAGAGGCCTAACATAACTTTGTAATTTTGTAATTAGAAGGATTGTAAAACTTAGAGATCCAAAGAAAATTAAGAGAGGCGAGCCACTTTTACATTTATTTTAAAAAATAAACCTTGAGCCAATTAATTGAGCTTAAAAATTAAGAAAAGAAGCCTACTCACACCACATACAAAGAAATATTTTTGGGCTTATTTTCCCCCCCTATTTTCTTGGGCCTAGGGCGGTCGCCCCTGTTGCACCCCCTAGGGCCGCCCCTGCAGGCAGAAACCGTTTACAAATTAATAATAAATGTGTTGAAATATTATTGAATTAGTCATCTTCCAACCATTCTTGATTAGGAATTATTATCACCATTATATAAATAATTAGGAAATCATAATTATGATTCTAGATGATAATTGTGTGGTACACAATTATCTTCTAATCCTAAGGAATTTAGTTTTTCTCCTATAAATAGGAGTGTTCTCCTTCATTGTAAAGACACTTCTTAGACACCATTATCACACTTCTAATAACATCTTTCTCATTGTAAGGAATAAATGTAATTAGATTTTGATGATGCTAGGATATTAGAATTTTAAAGTACCCCTTATAGAAATTATGTATTAGAATTTCTTTTTGTAAGTTTTAGAATAGTCGACTGGTCAGAGATCCTCCTTCTGAGAGTTGCTCATCAGAGATGCATCAGAGCTGCTCATCGGTAATACGTCAGAGCTGCATCAGAGCTGCTCATCAGGAAAGCATCAGAGTTCCTGCACCAGAGCTCGACTTCAAGCTACATCAGAGAACCATCAGACTTCGATGAAAATGTTTATCATAACTCAACGAGGTATCAGAGTTGCTCCTCAGAAAAGCTTCATCAGAAGTCAACTTCAGAGAAGTATCAGAGTCCCTCATCTAAAGTTCATCAGAATCCAAGATCAGAATGCCATTAGAGAAGCTCATTAGACTCCGAATTACACTTAGAAGATTTCAATGCTACTTTCAACTGCTGCTAAGCCAACGGGAAATTCCCTAACGGCTAGAAGATATTTTCATCAAAGGAAAGCATTTAATGCTCATTTAATGAGCCTTAACGCTGTGGAGTAATTGCAGATGATTGACCGAGATTCCTGGAGAATATTATACAAAAATAGAAACCTGCCAAAACTGCGGGTCCAACCGGTCAACTCCACAGTATGCGCATTCAATGCAGTTGTCTCCTCCTCCAACGGGTAGACAATTTCCGGTATAAAAGATACTCGATGAAGAACAACCGGACAACTTTGCTACAACTTTTGCTCTCTTCAATCATTCTACAAGCCTTCTTGAGATTCAACTTCAACAATCTTCATCAAGAAAAAGCTTACGTTGGGAAGATTAAACAATCAAATCTCTCAAACCCGACTAAGAGCAAAGTTCATCTAGTTCTTCAATCTTCAAGAACTTCAACTATATATCCTTTGTAACGAAGCAAGTTGGAGAAAAACTCTGTTTTTCTAAACATCTTCTGCAAAGAAGGGCGTCCAAGTAACTGCAGTAGCGAAGTGGTGATACTTCCGGGAAACTGAGTGAAAGGACCAGTCATCAGGAAGCAGGACTGCATCCCGGGTGACAACTAGACTTGAAGAAGACGTGGAGAACTTCTTAAGTGCTAGGGACTAAGGAATTGTAACTGACGCTTTACAATCTTAGTGGAACAGTGGACTAGAGGAACGCGTTGTTCCTTGAACCACTATAAAAACACTTGTGTCATTTACTTTACGCATTTACTTTCAGCACTTTAGAACATAACTGCATAACTCCCTAAGAACTTGGAATCTGTGTTCAGCAGATCTTGTTCCCAGAGTTATCAGAAAGGCACTTGCCTTAGTATTCCCTTGAGGCTACCCGGAACTCTTATCCGCTGCAAGACCCAGTTCTGATCATCAGAACTCGACCCTCTCTGATAAGTCAACTTTGACTTAGAGAAAAAGTTTGTAAACTTATAACAGTCTATTCACCCCCCCCCCCCCTCTAGACTGTTACCAACTCGAACGGGACCAACACTCACTAAGTATTCAGAATATACTTTCTCTCCCTAATCTTCTGCTTATAACATCTTCTAATAACATCTTTCTTGATTAGGAATTATTATCACCATTAATAATTATGATTCTAGATGATAATTGTGTGGTACACAATTATCTTCTAATCCTAAGGAGTTTAGTTTTTCTCCTATAAATAGGAGTGTTCTCCTTCATTGTAAAGACACTTCTTAGACACCATTATCACACTTCTAATAACATCTTTCTCACTAAGTATTCAGAATATACTTTCTCTCCCTAATCTTCTGCTTATTTCATTCCATTTTATAACACGTTATCAGCACGAGTTTGCTCCAAATCCCTGAAATCATCATCTTCCCAATAGATATGGAGTTAACTGAAATTTCTCCAAGTGGCTTTGAACAGTGTTTAATAGACAGTGCCACAATGCATACCATTTTGAGACATAGAGATTATTTTTCTCATATGACATTAGTTGATGCTAATGTCAATACAATCTAAGGTGTTGCTAAACTCATTGAAGGTTCTGGAATAGCCTGTGTGATTCTCCCAAAAGGGACAAAATTAATAATTAAAGACGCTTTATACTCCAGTAAATCACGGAGAAATCTTTTGAGTTTTAAAGATATGCGTCTAAATGGTTTTCATATTGAAACCATGTCTGAAAATCAAAAGGAATATTTATGTCTAACGACAAATAGATCTGGCAATAAATATATTTCTGAAAAAATGTCACCATATTCCTCGGGACTGTATTATACATATATCAGTCCAATTGAGATAAATGTGGTATCTAAAATTTATGACCACAATTCTTTTATCTTGTGGCATGACCGTTTAGGTCATCCAGGCAGCACTATGATGCACAAAATTATTGAAAATTCACTTGGACATTCATTAACTAATGTCAAGATTCCACAATCAAGTGATTTTCCGTGCACTGCATGTTCTCTTGGCAAATTAATTATCAGGCCATCTTTATATAAAATTGGAGTTGAATCCCCTGCATTTTTAGAAAAAATTCAAGGAGATATTTGTGGGCTAATTACCCCTCCGTGTGGACCGTTTCGATATTTATGGTGCTCATTGATGCATCAACACGTTGGTCACATGTCAGTCTTTTATCAGCTAGAAATTTTGCATTTGCAAATCTCCTTGCTCAAATTATTCGTTTGAGATCACAATTTCCGGATTATTCGATAAAGAAAATCCGACTTGATAATGCAGGAGAATTCGCATCCCAATCTTTTAATGACTATTGCATGTCAATTGGGATTGATGTGGAACATCCAGTTCCACATGTACATACACAAAATGGTCTTGCCGAATCCTTAATTAAGCGATTACAATTAATTGCTAGACCATTATTGATGAAATCCAAATTACCATCATCTGCATGGGGATATGCTATAATGCATGCTGCAAATTTAATTCGGCTTAGGCCAACCAAATATCTGGTAAAGAACCAAATATATCACACCTAAAAATATTTGGTTGTTCTGTGTATGTACCAATTGCTCCACCTCATCGTACTAAAATGGGTCCTCAAAGAAGGCTGGGAATTTATGTTGGTTTTAAATCACCCTCAATTATTAATTATCCAGAACCTATGACCGGTGGCTTATTCACCACGCGGTTCGATAACTGTCATTTTGAAGAGACAACATTCCCAGCCTTAGGTGGAGATATTAAAGAAATGCACCCATGTACGAAAGATATTACTTGGAATGCAACAAATTTATCTTTTCTTGATTCTCGCATGAATGCTTGTGAACAAGAAATTCAAAAGATTATTCATTTACAAAATGTTGCAAACCAATTGCCTCATGATTTCACAGACTCAAAGAAAGTGAAAAAGTCACATATTCCAGCTATTTATGCTCCTTCTCGAATAGAAATTCTTGCGGAGATTAGCGAAAGAACTCTTTTTAATGAATCTATGATACGTGAAAATGAGGTAGATCACTTGGTTCAAGAGATTTGAAACCAAGAAAATTTAAACAGCCAGTTGTAGTTTGTGATGCCAAAGAAGTTCAACCTTCTCAAGAAGAAAATGAACATTTTGAAAATATCGGCCTTGAAGATAACATCAATAATAAAGATACCTCAAAAGAGGATCCAATCACCTTCAAAGAGGTAAATATTCCATATAAAGATAGAAACGTCGATAATTTCGAAATTTCAATTAATTATGTTTCTAATGGAATACAATGGAATAGAAATGATATTGATGTTAATGATATATTTTCATATGTCATCGCCACAGATATAATGAATGAACACGATGACAATGAGCCTAAATCTATTGACGAATGTCGTCGTAGAAATGATTGGCCAAAATGGAATGAAGCAATTCAGGTAGAATTAAAATCGCTAGAAAAGCGTAATGTTTTTGGACCAATTGTCCATACGCCAAAAGGCGTAAAACCTGTCGGTTTTAAATGGGTTTTTGTGCGTAAACGCAACGATAAAAAATGAAATCGTTATACAAAGCCCGACTTGTTGCCCAAGGTTTTTCTCAAATGCCAGGAATCGATTATGATGAGACGTATTCTCTAGTAGTTGATGCTACAACTTTAAGATTTTTAATTGGCATGTCTGTTTTTGAAAGGCTGCAAATGCGCCTAATGGATGTGGTGACCGCATATCTATACGGTTCACTCGATACAGACGTATATATGAGAATTCCTAGGGGCTTTAAAATACTTGATGCTTATCGCTCGAAATCTCGAGATTTATTTTCCATAAAATTGCAAAAGTCATTATATGGATTAAAACAATCTGGACGCATGTGGTATAACCGTCTCAGAGAATATTTGATTAAAGAAGGATATAAAAATGATCCTATTAGTCCATGTGTTTTTCATTTGGCGATCCGAATAAGGATTCGCCATAATTGCAGTATATGTTGATGATTTAAACATGATTGAAATTCCCAATGATATTAAAAATACTGAAAAATATCTCATGAAAGAATTTGAAATGAAAAACATTGGGAGAACAAAATTTTATCTCGTCATTCAAATTGAACATTTGAGAAATGGTATTTTTATTCACCAATCAAACTATACCAAGAAAGTTTTGAAGCGGTTTTACATTGATAAACCACACCCGCTCAATGTGAATGATGATTCTTCTGACCCTGATGAATAAATCATTGGTCGTGAAATAATATATTTGAATGCTATTGAAGCATTAATGTATTTGACTAATAATACTTGAGTAGATGTTGCCAGCTTTTTCTATAAATTTGTTAGCCAGATATATCGCAGGTCAAAGAATGTTACATCAAAAGGGATAGAACAAAGCATATAGCACCATAAGGTCCATAACTTTTCTCCACACATGATCTTGAGAAAGACGGAACGGTTGATGCTAGACAAATAAAGTCATGAGACAACCCTGCTGATTTATTCACAAAGTCATTGGCACCGAAGAAATTTGAAGAACTGGTCCACAAAATTGGAATGTGCCGTCTTCGAGATATATGTTAAATTGAGGGGGGGGGGGGTAATATAATGCACTGCATTCTTTTTCCCTTCGTCAGAATTTTTTTTTTCTCATTGAGTTTTTCCTGACAAGGTTTTTAACGAGACAGTACATTATAATACTATGAAACTAATACCCCAGAATAATTAGAAGATGACCATTCAAGGGAGAGTGTTGAAATATTATTGAATTAGTCATCTTCCAACTATTCTTGATTAGGAATCATTATCATCATTATATAAATAATCAGGAAATCATAATTATGATTCTAGATGATAATTGTGTGGTACACAATTATCTTCTAATCCTAAGGAGTTTAGTTTTTCTCCTATAAATAGGAGTGTTCTCCTTCATTGTAAAGACACTTCTTAGACACCATTATCACACATCCCTAATCTTCTCTTATTTCCTTCCATTTTATAACAATACAAAATACAAATGGAATGTTTGGGAGAATGTTTGTTAAGTTAATTATTTACAAAAGTATCACATCATCAATCACCGGCACATATTCATATCATGGTAGACTTGCATTAAAAATAGGGGTGGGCATGAGTCATATTGATCCCCATATTTATACTTTTTTAAGAATCGCATATTCCATTAAATGCGTAATTCCGGACAAGGTATACCAATTTTATCGGAATTTACCCGCTCTGCTTGAAATGAATTGATTCGATCTAGGTTCCCAATTCCTTTTTATTGGTAATAATTAAGAGCATCTCCAATGCTAAAACATTAACGATGCACACGTGGCATGGAAAATAACCAATTAAAAAACAATACATACAATATCTCTCTCCTTATTTGAAGGATCTTACATCATTTTGGTAAGTTTTTCTTTACAATGTCAAGCACAATGTCTAGATGTAGACATTGTGATTGACATTGCAGACAAAAACTTACCATAAACACATAAGACCGTGGAAAGAAGGGGAGACATATTGTATTTATTGTTTTTTAATTGGTTATTTCTCATGCCACGTATGCACTGTTAACGTTTTAGCATTGGAGATGCTCTAAATATTGCTCACTTCTAAACGAGCTAACAAGTAATAACATCTCCAAACTAAATATAAAGTCAACTTAAACCGTAATATAGTATAATTAAAGCTAAAAACAATAAAATTTTGGGATGAATTAAACAGAATGGCTTCAAAACACTACTCCGTATTAAAATTAAATAGCACATAACTTAACAAATCAAATAGCTCCAATAGATAAATGTAAACAATTAAACATTCTCCATTATTTAAAAATAGCACAAAAACTGAAAAAAGATGTAGAAAAATTAAAATTGCCACTAGGCATGTCTAAAGAGAACTAATTTTAGCTTACAAAATATCTGGATGTAAATCGAATTGAGCATATTGTAATGAATTAGATCACATATCGTCGAGTTAGGGTCTTTACTTACATAAAAAAAAAAAGCTCGGATAAACTTGATTGTAGAATGGGGATAAATCTTTATGAGTTTATGTAGACATTGGAGCTCTTATTAATAGAATCGTTATTAATAGAATCGTGAATGTACGCTCAACTTTAGGTTTCTTTGAATTTCTCAAAAACACATTAACATGAAGAGCATTTGTGTCTTATTAAAGTAAGAGAAAACAACTTTGAACAATATCAACTATCACCGACAAAGAAACAATAATACATAGTGAAGAAATCGTAGATGTGATAAACAGAGTTTATTTAAAGTACGGTATACCTTATATTTTTTCTCATACCTTTGCCGTACCAAAACTTTCGGTATGCAAAATTTGCATACATTTACCTTACCGAAGTTTCGGTATACCGCATTTCGGTATACCGAAGTTTCGGTTCGGTAACGGTACGGTATCGGTAAATTACCGTGCATGTCTCCCAATACAAAAAACTATCACAGACTAACGAAATATACTACTCCGTAAATCGTTATTACTAGTGACATATTAAATCTATTGTTAAAATGTTACGAAATACAATTAATAATCTATTGATGTCAATTCAATATTGAACAATAATTATTATTAGTATATTTAAGCAGTTCAACATGCCACATATTAAAAAGTAACACATACTCCTAAAATAACTTGAACAATATAGATATAATTAAATCAATAGTGATCTCTAACAAAAATACATAAAACTATTCAAACAACATGGATATAAAATCATTTATTCCTAATATGATATTGTGTATTTAGTCATTTTAATAATTTTTAAAAATTTAATAAGACTTTCAGACAAAATTGTGTGTCTCGACTCGCGGAATCCCTATGTAGATACACTTGTCACATAAGTTTATCTCTCTTCACTCGCCAGCTACTTAGCGGCCCAGCCATCACGACTTGCAAGCTCTTTGAACAAGATGGACTTGTTTCTTGACATTTGTACATTACTCATTAGTCATTAAGGTTAGCGTAGTAGAAGCCTATAAGGTTATAGTGGGTTTGAGAAATTGAACCTTTGTTTTTGTATTTTTGTATTTGTTACCAACTTAAGTATAATTTTGGGCTTCAAAATTGTAATGGATTTCTACAATATATTAGAATTAAAGGTAATTGTTGAGTAGAGAGTCGGTACGGTATTATACCGGTATACCGCGGTATTTGAAAATATTTACCGTTACCGTACCGAAATAGATCGGTACGGTATGATACCGTACCGAAAATGACGGTATACCAATATTTCGGTATTTTCCGGTATTTTTCGGTACGGTAAGTGCGGTATACCGATATTTCGGTATTTTTGCCCACCCCTACATTTTATACATGCATTTACAAGGCTACGTAACTAAATTGATAAAATCTACAGCTAGACTAGCACTATACACGGCTAAAATAAAGAGATAAAGCCCGAAGTAAAATGTTACAAATAAATATAGACTCCAAGACAAATAAAACACATGCATAAGTGGGTATACTGCTGCCGTAACACCCCGGCCCTCAAGATGGAGCATGGAGGTCTCGAATGCCCATCTTGGAAAGTAAATAGTTGAACTGATGTGCTCCGAGCGCCTTAGTAAAAATATCAGCCAACTGCTCAGTAGTGGAATGATGAATAGGTGTAATGGTGCCATCGTGAACATGATCTCGTAAGAAATGACAATCAATTTCAATATGTTTTGTCCGCTCATGAAAGACGGGATTAGAGGCAATATGCAGTGTAGCTTGATTGTCACAGAACAAAGGAATAGGTCGGACCTGTGTAACCCCCAACGAAGAGAGTAAGTTCTTTAGCCAGATCAGCTCACAAGTCAAAGAAGCCATAGAGCGATATTCTGCTTCAGCGGAAGATCGGGAGACCGTGAGTTGTTTCTTGGTACGCCATGAAATAGGAGACTGGCCAAGCATGATAAAATATCCAGAAGTGGACCGCCGTGTGAGAGGACAGCTGGCCCAGTCAGAGTCACAAAATCCCACCAGATCCAATGAGGAGTCGCTGCGTAGAAGAATACCTTGACCGGGGTGTCCTTTGAGATATCTTAAACCACGCAACACAGCTTCCCAATGCAGCACACGCGGCTGTTGCATAAATTGTGACAATATGTGAACTGAGTAACTAATGTCAGGACGTGTGAGTGTCAAATAAATCAATTTTCCAACAAGCCTCCGGTACTGTTCAGGATCAGAAAAAAATGGCCCTGTGTCACGTTGTTGGCAATGATTCTGTACCATCGGAAAAGCCACCGGTTTGGCTCCACTCAGACCGGTTTCAGCTAATATATCCAGCACATACTTCCTTTGACACAAGAAAATTCCATTGGGACTTCTGGCTACCTCAATCCCTAGAAAATATTTTACAGAACCCAAATCCTTGATAGGAAAAGAAGTACCAAGGAATTTTTTAAAATGTACAATCAAATCATGACAATTTCCTGTAATAAGAAGATCATCCACATAAACCAAAACACATAGGATATCATCACCCCGTCGTAAGGTAAAAAGAGAATAATCGGCATGTGACTGACTAAACCCATAAGTGCGCAAAGCCGCTGTCAGTTTGGAAAACCAACAACGAGGTGCCTGACGCAACCCATACAGAGAACAAAGTAGCTTACACACATGCCCAGGAGGAGCAGAATACCCAGGAGGCGGATGCATATAAACTTCTTCGTCTAAATCCCCATGCAAAAATGCATTATCTACATCCATCTGATGTAGCTCCCAGTGCCGACAAGCTGCCACCGCCATAATGGTCCGAACCGTGACCATCTTTGCCACCGGAGCAAAAGTTTCATGATAATCGATTCCCTGCACTTGTCGATTACCACAGACCACGAGACGAGCCTTGTATCTGTCAATACCACCATCACTTTTATATTTAATTTTAAATACCCACTTACAATATATGGGTTTTTTGCCAATCAGCAGCTTCTGTATGGCC